CGCATCGGAAATGTTCTCCGAGGCAGAATTTACGCCGGCGCTGATGAGTCACACCATCAAAGTAGTTTTTTGAGCGCGGTTTGTAATGATTCTGTAAATGAGTGCGTTTTTAAACTTTAAAGGGCTTTGGTCGTCGTCCAGAAGGAATGAGAAGAAAGTGTGTGTGGAAAGAGGCTAATTTTAGGTGCTAGCTGGCTGACTTGACGAAGCTTGTGGGTGCTTTAATGAGTCATAATAAAGCCATTTCAGGCCAGCTGAGTGAAAATAGATACTTGATGAGCCGAAGGTCCTTATACAGTTGGATTTTATAGATTTTTTTTTTATTACTATTATGGAAGTCTGAATTGGAATAGTATAATCTTGCTAGCAGAAGCCATGCTTGGTGGATATTGTGTCCAAGCCATGTGTGGTGAACCAAAGACTGCGTCTTCTTCTCTGTTTTGAGGTCTTGTCCCTCATGAATTGTTCAGAAAAAGCAACGTCAGATGACCATTTCCCCTTGTTCGGTGTGCGTGGTTTATTGAAAGTGTTTCTGAAGTGATGGAAACATCCTGGCCTACTTCATAATGGGCCAGCAGCTCCACAGGTGGATCCAATACTATTAATAGATGGATTCCCTCAGGCAGACGATGGCCATCAGAACAGTTATTTAGTCCAGTTATTAAGGATCGCTGGTTGCAACTGGGTTAAATGATTCTTTTCTTTCTTTCCTTGATCGTGCGTGTGTATGTGTGTGTGTGTGTGTGTGTGTGTGTGTGTGTGTGTGTGTTTGTGCATGCATTTGTACACTTTGTATATGTATTTCCATCTGTGCAGGTGACTCATACGATTAATGATACCTTAATGGGGTGAATTTTTCATTGCCTATTTTTAAGACCATTAAGATCTTTCTGCATTGTTACATTATTTTCATGATAAATAAGCAGCTTGACCCCTTCTTGTTAGTGTAATGTGAAATATTCTTATTAGCATTAATGTAATGTGAAAGCAACAAAGGTTTACTAGGGAAATTGATTTATATATACTGTAGCATCCGTACCTGATGTACAGCCACCGGTTTATTATAAACTTGTCCAAAAAGGTAAATTTTTTTTTTGTTATGTAGTAAATAGAATATAATGACAATCATAACACTGCCTGTTTTAAATAAATTGAAGAATCAGATGATATATATATCACTTTATTAGGCACATGTGTCCAATCACTCGTTAATACAAATTTCACATGTTACGCCTATTAGGACCAATTGAGCATCTTGTATGTATTTATATCAGAATATAGGTGACATCTCTTTCCATCAACATTCTGCATAACTATTATATTTATGTAAAAATATAACAACATATTCTGACCTGTTCATATAAACTGTATATATAAAAAATAGCACTAAGTGATTATACAAACTTTTGTATTTTTATTTTTAGTTTTTACAGTATGTTAAAATCTAGTGGTTTAAACTTAATAGTGTCAAAGCTAAAAGTTTTTAAAATGATGGTAAATTTCAGTTATGTTTTTTGTGTGTATTTTGATTATGTTATGAATTTTTTCTCTGTGTCAAATCTTATTAGGATATGTACAGCCTGTAGACCATTTTCTTTTATCTGTCCCCCATTCTCGCTTTAAATCAAAAGGTGATCCAGTTTTCTGTGTTGCTTTGATAAAAGCTTTTAAAAAGTCTCCTTCTGTCCATCATTGTATCCTTTGAATCTAATTTAGACTTATTTTGCTCTCAAGCTTACAATTGATTATTTTTATTCTTATACTTTATTATTTAGATTTTTTTTTATTTCTTTATTTTATTGTAAAGCACTTTGCAACAACTGTGTGCTCTATAAATATAGTTTGCCTTGCATTGCCGTGTCTGAAAATGCCTTTAAAGACTTGTTTGTTGTACAAACAATAGTTACATTGAGTGTCATTTTATTGAGTGTCTTCTGTGAATTATTTTTCTTAAAAAAATAATAATAATATTGAACTAACATTACAAAAAAAGTCAAACTGGATGACATGAATGGCTTAAAAACCCCTAATATATATATTTGTCATTATAACAAGCCTTACTGACCCCGAAACTTTCAAACAGTAGTGTATTGTAATGAAATATAACAGGCTTGACAGGCTTGATGTGATTTCACCCTGAAGAAAGCAACCTTGGCATTGATAAATGAATTACGGTGGATCGAAATCATCTGCTTTTACAGGAAAACATGAACAGTACCTGCCTGCGGGAGCGTCAACCTGAAATGACCTTTCTTATTATATGATTATCATTTATTACTGCTATCTCTACGAACACATAATAAATGGGTATAGTGTTTTGTTTGTAAGAAGAGACTCATTGTACATGTCATAAATCAGTCTGCAGATACAAAGCGCTTTTAATATCCTTTAGGACATGTTGCTGTCTGTTCTGCCTCGGCTTATGCTTTACGGTCTTTTATCAAGACAAGACAAGAGAAAAGCTGCCAGCTCTTGTAGATAAGAACATCTCTTTGATTCTGTCAAGGGACAGTATGTTACTCGGTTGATGTGTGTGGGGGAAAAAATGAATGATGTTTAATGTCATAAACAACTCATACTTTGAAATAACACCGTTTCAGCCTTTGGCATCGTTTCTGTTTTCTTTTCGCTTCATTTTACGGTTTGATTTTATAAACATGAGCTTCAAAAATAGTGTGCTTGACAGATCAACATTCTGTGTTTTGCTGCTTTCCCGTCAAGAGCATTTGCTCATGGTTCTGTTTTAGAATGTAATCTGTTTGGAATTTTACATTGCTTTATATTTAAAGCTTCGCAACTTTGATCCTTATTTGTGTGTTGATGGTATTATGATAAATATATATTTTATGTATGTGGTAAAATGGCCCAAACTGTTGTTAGATAAATGAAGATATAACAAGCAAACACTTTCTTGAGTATATTTGATAATCACAAGCTATATTTTTGTCAGTGAATATCAGACTATCACTTTGAGAGAGCTTTAAATTTTTGAAAAATATTAAAAATGTAGGCGAAAAGGTGGCTCAGTGGTTAGCACTGTCACCTCACAGCAAGAAGGTCACTGTTTTGAGTTCTGAATGGGTTTAATTGGGGTTTCTGTGTGGAGTTTGCTTGTTCACCCCAAGTTGGCATGGGTTTCCTCCAGGTGCTCGGTTTTCCCACACAGTCCAGACATGTGCTATAGGTGAATTGAATAAACGAAATTGACCGTAGTGTATGAGTGTGTATGGATGTTTCCCAGCACTGGTTTGCAGATGGAAGGACATCCGCTGTGTAAAACATAGGCTGGATAAGTTGGTGGTATATACAGTGCATCTGGAAGGTATTTATAGCGCTTAGTTTTTTACACTTTTTTTTTTTATTTTACAGCCTTATTCCATAATGGATTAAATTTATTTATTTCCTCAAATTTCTACACACAATATCCCATAATGACAATGTGAAAAAAAAGATTTTTTGAAATTGTTGCAAATTTATTAAAAAAAAAAAACATGAAAACACATGTACATAAGTATTCACAGCCTTTGCCATGAAGCTCTAAATTGAGCTCTGGTACATTCTGTTTCCACTGATCATTCTTGAAATGTTTCAGCAGCTTAATTTGAGTTCACCTGTGGCAAACTCAGTTGATTGTCTCGGATTGTCTTGAGCCACAAGGCTAGGTAAGGTTACAGAAAATTTCAGATGCTCTTAAAGTTACAATGAGCAGTGGCCTCCCTCATCCATAGGTGAAAGATGTTCGGAACCATCAGGACTCTTCCTTGAGCTGGCTAGCCCTCTAAGCTGAGTGATCGGGGGAGAGAGCCTTAGTCAGAGAGGTGATCAATAACCCGATGGTCACTCTGCCTGAGCTCCAGTGATCTTCTGTGGAGAGAGGAGAAACTTACAGAAGGACAACCTTCTGTGCAGCTATCAACTGATCAGGCCTGCATGGTAGAGTGGCCAGACAGAAGCCACTCCCTGCCTGGAATTTGCCAAAAGCCATCTGAAGGACTCTCAGATCATAAGAAACAAAATTCTCTGGTCTGATGAGACTAAAATTTAACTCTTTGGAATGAATGACAGGTGTTAAGTTTGGAGAAAACCAGGCACCACTCATCATCAGGCTAATACCATTCCTACAGTGAAGCACGGTGGTGGCCGTATCATGCTGTGGGGATGTTTTTCAGCAGCAGGAACTGGAAGATGAGTCAGGATAGAGGGAAAGATGAATGCAGCAATGTACAGAGACATCCTGAATGAAAACCTGCTACGGAGTGCTCTTGACCTCAAACTGGGGTGACGGTTCATCTTCCAGCAGGACAATGACCCAAAGCACACTGCCAAAATATCAGTGAAGTGGCTATACAACAACTCGGTGAATGTCCTTGAGTGGCCTAGCCAGAGTCCAGACCCAAATCCTATTGAACATCACTGGAGAGATCTGAAAATGGCTGGACACCATCACTTCCCATTCAACCTGATAGAACTTGAGAGGTACTGCAAAGAGGAATGGGCAAAAGTTCCCAAAATATATTGTCTATTGGGTGGCACGGTGGCTCTGTGACCGCTGCCGCTGTGTAAAACATATGCTGGAATAGTTGGTGGTTCATTGCGCTGTGGCGACCCCTGATTTATAGTGGACTAAGCTGAAGGAAAATAAATGAATATTGTCTATTTTAAAGTTTTCATTTTCTTTTCATTAGTACAGTCATAATATGACCTTAAAATATAAAAACGAGGAAGTGTCTTTTCATATTTCAGTTAATTAAAAACGTTTTGCTAACAAATGGGTAAAACAAAGGACAGTGTAAATATGTAAAGTGACAACAAATATTTAAGACTGTAGTGTGATCCTTCTATACAGTCGGTTTATCATGCCATCAAATGATTCTTGTTCTAAACATGATTGACAAGATTTTTTTTTTTTCACTGTTTAACCCCCATTTTTGTCTATGCATCTCTAAATCCACCGACCAGCTGGTATTGACTTGTTTTTGTGCTTTTCTTCTTCCTTCCAGCTGGACCAAAAGCACTAGTATGTGATCAGTGTGGAGCTCAGTTTTCCAAGGAAGAGGCTCTGGAAGCTCATCGACAGACTCACACAGGTAAACCTCATCTCGCCTCATCCAACCGCAAACCACTTGCTTAAATAACACTAGTTAACCGCGATGGAAAAACCTCCAGTAAAGGGTAGATGCGTCATGTACCAGTAGTAATCATGTTTATGAGCGTATCAAAACTCCATTCTGATGCTCTTCTATAATTCAGCAGGGAAGGTTTCGGTGCCCTCTACAATTTCAGCCAATAAAACGCGCTGTTAAAGGGCAGGGCGGCACACCGCTTTGGCAGAGCAGCAGTGCCATGTTTCACCAATCTCCATCACTTTGTCTAAACATGGCACGTACATAAGTTGAAGCGACTGTACTAAGTTACCAAAGTCTGTGAGTCACCGGCGCTTTGGCACGATCATTAACACGCCAACAGCGCTCAGCTGCCACCGTCCTGTCAAATATTCATATTTACTGACATCTGATGACTGCCAGCTTGCCTTTCAGTGTCACTACAGACTGTTCAATAATCATATATTCGGGTAGGTCAATGGTGTACTTTGATAGGGCTTGGCATGGGATGATGGATTGAGCGTAAACTTGTTTTTGCAGTCGCATACCTGAGTGTGCTCTGTCATTGAATTTGTATGTAGGCGTATAAATGTACGCTGGTAAAAGTGATTAGTTGACATCACGTAGATAAAGAGTGAACTCATTGCCTCATAATTATTATGTGTATAATTATAAAGGTTAAGTCAATGGGTTTACTGACCTCAAATCAACTTGCTTTAAAGAGATCGGCTTTACTCACTTTTTTGAAGTAAAGTAACTAATCACTTTTTACAATGTAGAGTAATGAAAATGAACACTTGCCTTTATTTCACATCTACAGAAGCCACACGATAGCTTTGTGAAAGGAAGAGCTTCGCCTCCAGTAAGCTGTTCATTCGAGAAGCGCTGCAACTAGATATTTGATTCAGTGATTCAAGAGCTGGATCATGGAAACAAATCATTGGGCTGCATCTGAAATTGCACAAGTGTATACAAGGGATGCACTAAATTTGTGGCTAAAAATGGCAGTTTTGGTTTTCCACAATAATAAAAATGAATGCAAATATGAGCTATTAAAATATGTTGTTTTAGACAGGCGATACTGTGCTGGTGCAACACTGGTAAAATGATGCCTCTCGATCTGTCCACTTACTGTATCTGCTTCTATTAGACTCATTCATTCATTTTCTTTTCGGCTTAGTCCTTTTATTAACCTGGGGTAGCCACAGCGGACGAACCCCCAACTTGTCCAGCATGTGTTTTTACGCAGCGGATGCCCTTCCAGCTGCAACCTATCACTGGGAAACACCCATACACTCTCATGTATGCCCTATGGACAATTTTTGCTTACCCAATTCACCTGTACCACATATGTTTGGACTTGTTGGGGAAACCGGAGCATGCGGAAGAAGCTCATGCAAAGGCAACCTCCACACAGAAACGCCAACTGACCCAGCCAAGGCTCGAACCAGCGACCTTCTTGCTGTGAGGCGACAACACTACCTACTGCGCCACCACGTCGCCCTCTATTAGACTATATGTTGTTAAAAAAGTGCTTAGAAGTGAATAAAGAAAAGGCATTGATTATTAATATTACTTATAATTAATCTGGTGACAGAGGTTTATCCTCAAAACATTAACTGCATAACTATAAATGCACTTTACACTATGCATTTATGCATTTTTTAATTATGCACTTATCCTCTCAATGCCATAGTGTATACATTTATTGTTCCCCCAAACTTATTTTGACTGAGCAGAAATTCACAATTCCATGTCAAATGACATTTAATGGTCTTACAGACACATAAAATATATTGTAAAATAATCTACCAAATGGTACCCATAATCATCTTGTTAGGACATTTTTTTCCTCACACAAGGCAAAAGAAACGCAGTCAGTTTTGTGCTGTGCCTGCTGGAAATATAAATGTGTGAAAATGATAAAAAGTTTGTGATTGATATAAAAAGTTATTATATAAAGTTAAATGTCAAAAAATCTTACCAAATTACTTTTAATAAAATATTTATTAATAATAATAATAATGATGATAAATTTAAAAAGATTAATTATTTAATAAAATAATCAACAAATATTAAAAAGCATTTCAAGATATTTCAGTTTTAGCCCAAAATTTCATTTAATTGAATTCTCAATGTTTAAAAAAGGAAAAAACATGTGAAAAGTACACACATGACCTACTATAATACCTCCAGCTAGAACTGTAATTGTGCGCCTGATGGACACTTTACTATAAAATGAAGCCACAGGAGAGGATTGCGAATTGCAATGAATCCATGCAACTGACACTGGTGGGTCACATGACGATTACAACATGGCGAACTTAATACGTTCAGGTTAAATTTATACTTTAGCCCACATATATTTAGCATCTAAAATAATACACATACTTCTCATCTAAACAAAATGATTCAAACATCCTTTTTATCCAGCTGATACATTTCACAAGAGATTGATTCATGGATTTGTGCATTATTGAATCAATGATTCAGTCAGAGCAGTTCTCTTTTCAGCAACTCGTTGATTTGAATTTCTCTACTGCTGTACATGGAAAGCTCAAGTTTAAATGTTTGATTGATACGGGATGTGATTTTTCATTGTTGAGAAGTAGACATGTCATCTGCCTTGGTGGCAATGTCAGTTCCAGTTACTTATATCAAAAAACGTGGCAAGAAATGCCACAAATGTTTCTGAAGCTATGTACAGCAGAAAATCATATTCATTAAAATAAACCTAAATCATAATTTATTTACAGTGCCTAAATGTCACGTAAATCTTGGAGAGGGTAAATAATATTGAGTCTTTAAACTGCTTTTATTCCAGTCAAAATAAAAGAAATGAAACTTTCTCCAGAAGAAAAAAATAATAGGCAATAATATTAACTTTTCCTATTTAAATTTCCTTTTAAACACCATTGGTATATTTAGCAAATAATAAAAAAAATTATCTTCAGCTGTATGTTAAATATTTAAACTAACACAGACTAGCCATGTTCCGACAATGTTTCTTTCAGATTACCTTTTAACGCCAGTCTCTAAATAAAAACTTATGGGTCCTAGGCAAGCTATATATCTGTGTAATCTTGATTTATCTTCTCTTCTTGATTTATCTTATCTTGTCTTTCACTCCCAAGCACAACTGAGACCCTCCTACCATTTGTTTCTGACAAAATTCAGTAAGTTTGCTATGTTCACCTAATGCGCTTGAAAAATAGACAATGGGCAAGCTAAAGGGACGAGTGTCACTTGGGAAGGAAGACATTTATAGCAATGACAGTGTGCATTTGCATTTAATTATGCATCACACAGTATTACAGTCTTTATGAAATGAATATTATGTTATCACAAATTGTTTAATAAACAGTGGTAGAAAGAGTACTGAAAAATCATACTCAAGTAAAAATAACATTACTTGCCCTAAAATATAATGCAAGAAGAGTTAAAGTGTCTGTTGTAGATATTATTCAAAGTAGGAGTAAAAAGTAGCCCTTTTAAAAGTACTCAAGAGGTGAGTATTACACTGTGAAAAGTAGATGCATTCACAAGCAGTTTGTGCAGGGATTTGTAAACGTAACATTCTGTAGTGCATTTAGTGATCTTCCTATATTTGTTCGTTCCTTTCAACCTTCCTTCCATTGTTTGTTTGTTCCTTCCTTCATTCATTCGTTGATTCGTTGATTTTTGTTCCTTCCTTATTAGGTCCTTCATTCATTCATTCATTCATTCATTCATTCATTCATTTTTTTCATTCGTTCCTTTCTTTCCTTCATTTATTTGGCCCCTCTTTCATTCCTTCATTCATTCGTTTGCTCATTCATTCGATCATATTTTTGTTTCTTCCTTCATTAGGTCCTTTGTTCAATAATTTATTAATTCCTTTCTTCCTTTCTTAGTTTGTTCAGTCCTTCCTTAAATCCTTCTTTCATTCATTTGGTCATTCCTTCCTTAATTAGTTTGATCCATCCATCATTCGGTCCTTCCTTCCATTCCTTGTTTGGTTCTTCTTTCATTCGGCCCTTCCTTTCATTTTTCATTCGTTCCATTTAGTGTTTAAGGCTGTTTGGTTATATCAGCTGTCATACAGTCGACATCCTTCATTTTTTCATCAGTGACATGTGGTCTATAAAAAGTCTCAGGGTCATTGCATGTAAAGATTTTGGACATATTCTTGGACATTTTAATGCTTCCAAAAGGTTTGCTGCATTTATAAAGTGCCCATGTCTTGAGGTTGTTTTGTATGATGCGATTTACGATGTGTGATTTGATTAGACAGGAATCGCAGGACTGATTTTTCTACTTTAGCCAATCACCATAAACAAGAAAGAAATAAAGTAGTGACTGCAGGTTGAAGGAAAATAGTGGAGTACAAGCACTGATACAGCAGTAAAAATTTACTCAAGGGAAAGTAAAAGTACACATTATTAAAACTACTTAGCAAATTACAATTGCTGAGAAAATCTACTCAATTACAGTAGTTTGAGTATTTGTAGTTTGTTATTTTACACCACTGTAAATAAATAATTTTTTGTTTAATAAATGCTTTTAATAAAAGATATTTAAATATCAGTTTTGGGCGATGACCACATGGTGCAACAATCCGTCAGAGAGAGCCTGAGAGACAGGCTGCAAACACTGTTTGGAAAATCTTTGTGCAGTGATGATGTTTATATTCATAAAAGTTAAGTCAAGTTAACATTAATTTGCATCAGTTTGATGTTTTATTATTTTAAATTGTCTTTCTGTAATCAAATAAACATGATATAAAAATTAAATAATTATAAAGTTATTTAATTTCAAACTTTCATAAAAAGTTAATGAATATAACATTGACTTCAAGTGAAACACAATAATAGTATATTCTGACTAGGCTTAAAACAATGTCCATTTTTGCTGGTGAATTGAAGTTATATGCGCCCTGTATAGAACACTATTTTAATCATGTCAACACCTATCATCTGCCGTACAAATGCAGAGGTGGTACTTTT